AAAACTATTATTTTCTAATTATTCTATAAATTATATCTTATATTGTTCTTTTAAAAACTATTTTAGAGTAATTTTAAATACTTAATAATGTAAAAAAATGTAATTTTCTTTATGCTTCTAGTTAATTATATTGTAATAATAATTTAGACATTGAGATATGTTTTTTGAAATTCTTAAATAAGAAAATTATTATTTTTAATTATATAATATGTATATGTGTACTCATAAAATATAATCTTGTTTAAATATTATATTTTTATTTTATTTAATGTATACTTTAAAATAATATTTTTTGTCTTTTTGTTGTTTTATAAAAACAAATTTGCTGAAATGTAATCCTGAAAAAATTGAATCATTCTTTGCATAGTGTATATAGAAAGTTCTAAAGAGTTGGTAAAATTGACAGAGCTATTTCTGGCACAACTGTTGAAGAATATAAAGAAAATTTAACGAAGATTTATACTGTGAACACTGTACAAAGTTTTTGGGCTGTTTTCAATAATATACCAAATGTTAGTGCTGTACAAGTAAGTATTTTTTAATATATTTTTTTATCATTAACATAAATATACGAACATATATAAATTATTTCTATGTCAGGTCAGATATAGTTATCATTTAATGAGAGACGAAAGATATCCATTATGGGAAGAACCTGTCAATCAAAATGGTGGAACATGGAGACTAAAATGCCATAAATCTGATACTGTAAATATAAAATTTTTTTATTATAAAATTTCTTATTATATATAATATTTTTTATATTATATATATTAATGTAGGAAAAAATATGGAAAGAAATAGTGCTTGCAGCTATTGGAGAACAATTTGCAGAATGTGTTGCAGAAGGGGATGAAGTTTGTGGAATAACTGTATCTATTAGAGATAGAGAAGATCTTGTTCAAGTAATAAAACATTATAAATTAAAAAAAATTATTAATTGATATAGACTATATAAATTATATTACAAAACTTTCTTTCATTTCTTTTTATTTTTTCTTTTTAGATATGGAATACAAATGCTACCTTAGCATCAAAAGCTACAATTTTAAATAAAATCCATTCTCTCTTACCTAATGTAAACTTTTCTGAATTTTATAAACGTAAGTTTATTAGAATTATTTTCATGTATCTTTGTTTTTTATTTTAAATATATTTTCATTTTAGCTCATCAATCACATCATGCCTATGGACGCCGTTAAGAAAAAAGTTAACATTAAAATATTATTTGATAAATATGAATTTATAAATAAAAATTTAATTATAAAAATGAAGATCTATATAATTGTGTAAGAAAATTTCTGTACATTTATATATGTAAAAGAATAATATACATTTTTAATTTGTTGATATTTAATCATTTATTAATATTAACTACGTATGTTAATCTTTTAAGAATATAAAAAGAATATAAAAATATAAAGTTCGCTAAAATTGTAATTTTAAAATGTCAAATATATTTTTATATTTAAAAATATATTCCTATATATGTATAATTTAAATTTTATTTCATTCCAAAAAATTTCCATTGATAATTTTTGTCGATTTTATTAGAGATTTCTATTTTATTTTTTATATTATTAGACAAGATATTGCATTGGAATGCTAATAGAATTGTAAAATAATTATATTAATAAATTTCTTTAGATGCATGACATGATATTCGTTAACACTTGTTGATCATTTATAATTTATTTGATTCATATTCGAAAATTAGTGATATACGTACTTATTTGATTTCCTTTAAATGTATCATAATAAATATTAATATAATAATATTATTAATATTAATAATATAATATAATTAATATTAATCAAAAAATAATGCGAAAAATAGAAAGAATCATATATATAATATTACAATTGAGAAAGTATATAATATTAATTTTAATATTTTAGTATATCATGAAAAAAAAGCGACATGAAATTTCACATACATTGGAAAATAGATATTTGAATCTCTTACACATCTATAAAATCGAATCATTATCCAACTAAACGGTGTTATTTTAATTTTTTATGGGTTGTCAATATTTCTATATTAACGTCAGTGAATGAATATTTTGAAAATTAAAAAGTTTTTCATTTTTGAAAACTATTAAATTAATTTTAAATTGTATTTAAATTATTTATTATGTTTTATATGAAGATATTTATCAATTTATATCATTTACATATAGATATTTACTATCAATCAATTATATGCCTTTGTATTTTATATTCTCTTTTCATATTTTTTATTTCATATATTTGTAGAATTATAATTATTTCTTATTAATATATTTCATATAATTTTTAAATATATTTATATAATTTACAATTTTTAAACACAATATTAATAAAAATTAGAGAATAAGTTTCTGAAAATAGTAATATGATTATGGTAATAAAATATATTATAGTAACATAAAATATATATATTATATATAATAATAATAATAATAATCATAATAATCTAATAATAATTTTAATTTTAATTTTAATTTGATTTATGCACAATTTCGCGAATATACTCAAGCATGCACAATACATGTATATGTAAAAATCTTAAAAAATAAAAAATAATAAAAATAAAAATCATTGAACTTATTTTATTTATATAAAAAAAATTGTTTACAATTATTTGTAAATTTATATAAATTTTTTTCATTTTGTATATTGTATTTAATGTTTTAAAATGAAAATATAAAAAGATATATAATGTTTTTATTCAATATTTTTTATTCAAATAGAATACTGTTGGTCCTTAAAATCTCAGATTTTAACGAATACATGGAATTTCCTAAATTCAGATAAGATTTGCGTAGGCAGATTTGTACACGTGATCAGACGTACTGTTACGTATCTTTGGAATTCGAAGTTTAACGTGAAATTTATTACATTTATATGTAAAACTTGATAGGATAATTTGATATTTAATCTTGTCCTATAATTAATACGACGATAAAAAAAATCGATTGAATCTTCTTGATAAAAATAAATGGAATGGAAAAATTTGTTTTATATAAAATTTCCAATTCATATTTAATTTTTTAATATTTAATAATTTAATACCTAATACAGTTCACATTTTGCTAAAGATATTTATATTTAATCAAAATTATTATCCTAAAGAATATATTTGTATATTAATTTACTATAATAATATTATTTTAATATTAAAGTTAATATTTTATTTTAATTAACCAATGAAAAATAATTATTTATAAAATGGAAAAAAATAACTAATTTCTAATTAATTTAGAAACAATTAAATTGATATTACTTGATTCAAAGTTATTGCATACTAAAGCACAAGATATTTTATATTATATATATCTTTTAATATATACTTATGCAAAAAAGATTAAACTAATCATAAATAAAAAATTAATAATCCAATAAAATTTAGAGAAATTTAATTTTTCTTATACAAAATAAAGATAGATAAATTATTTCTGCATATAAAATAATTTTATTTCACAATAATTTAATATAAATATCTGCAACAATAATCAACTCAGAAATCAAAGAAAAAATCTTTATTAATTGTATTCTAATGATGAATTTGCAGATAGATTTTTAATATACTAGTACATTGATGAATGATAAATTCAATTTACTCTTTTAAATTTTCACAACTTTTAAATTTTCACTATATCAAAAAGATATATATATATACATAAAAAAATATCAATTCTTAAATATTTTTAATTATATTGCGATATTCATTAATCAATCCTAATATTGTTTCAGAAGTAGTAGTTCTGCATTCCTTAGTGGCGCCACATTCTCACATTACCAAAAAATTCACGCATAATTATTTCGCATACCATACCGTTACTGACAACAAATCATAACTCATTTAATGCTTTGTGACATCATTTTCCCCATACTGTGCCATTAAATCATTGCATTTTTTTTCATATAAATTAATATAGTTTTTATACATTCATAAAAATATACAAATATTTTCATGGCGCCACATTATTAACCTATCATGATATATTAATATTTATTCTTTTTTTTATTTAATATATAAAAAAAATCATATTTTAAACCACAAAATTATATGATATATTGATCAATTTATTTTGATTATAATTTTTCTAATATATTAATTGATTTATTTTGATCAATCATAATTCTATGGAATATTATAGTAATTCGTTAAATTTCTTAAAAATCATTTAATAATTTTACAGTTATTATAATATAATTTTATAGATTATTTTAGTATTATAATAATATTATGATAGTTTATATTTAAAAATTAAATATAATTTTTTACTTTTTGACTTTGATATTATTTACAAATTATTTTATTCTATATTAACATTTGAAACTGATATCACTACAAATCGTTAGAAAAATGCTAAATATCTGGTAACTATTATATCAATCAAAACGAATTTTATATTTCGCAATCTCGAATGATGATCCAATCATTGCAATGAAAAGTAGAAATGATTTTTATAATCTTTTTTAATACACAACTTTTTGTTGTGTATTATTGAGATTAAGATTTGTTTTTATATTTGTTCTTACTTGTTCTTGTCATGATAAATGAATTACATACATTTTGATACGATTAGCATGAAATGATACTTTTATACATCAATTTATTTATTTTTTATAAAATCATTTATAAAAATAAATAAAATAATTTTATTTAAAGAAAATAAATTGCCCAAATATATACTGCATATAGTTTCATAATATATATACATTACATATACATACATTATTATTACAGAATATTATAAAAAAAATTTGTATAATATATACAATTTATATAATACAAAAGTATAAAAATTTTTTATATATTTATATATGTAATATATACATTACATATTTATATATGTAAATGTTATATTCCATTTTTATTCTAACAAATTATGTTTTACGTTATATTTAATAAAAAATTACATTCTTTAATATGTATAAAAGTGAGTAAAAGAAAGTTCTAATTTAAAATTTAAAATTCATGGTACTGAATGATTTGAGAACCTCTGACGTAGATTTATTCTTGTAGAATCCGAATGACATAATAGTTGGATGACTGCATGTTGACTGCTGACTGTTAAATGTGCAACAAGCTTACGAGATAATCAAGATTACTCTGACGACGCTGCTTGCAGTACAGACGCACATTCGCATTACCAACATTTATAATTGCACAAATAATGCAAGGTTCCTTACTTTAAATTGTATATTTATACTACTATAAATTTATATGAAAAAAAACTTATATGAAAAGCAGTATTTCTTCAGTTAACAAAAAAATGTTATCATCAATATTTGACATGCTTTTAATTTTGAGGTTATCAGTTCTGTTCAAATTATTCATCATTTTAAAAAATCTTATAGAGATTATTTTGAAAAATTATAATTTAAATTATATATATTCCATATATTTTTTCTTATGAAGATTTTTTAACAAAATTTATTAATATTGATAAAAAAAATATAGTAGATTGTTTATCTTAATATTTATTTTATATTTTATACATTATCAATCGTAAATAGAAAATGAATTTGCTCTTTCAAATAATATTATTAGATTTCGGAATTAGATTATAAAAAATCATCGATATCTTTTTTATGGCATAAATGAAGAATCACTTTATTTGAATTACACATTTCATTTTCTTTTATGTTGAAATTTTTTTGTTGAAATTTTTCCAAAAAAATTAATTTACAATTCGATTATTGATCTACGTCATATAGATCTCATATAGAATAGTTATATATTTTTATTTTCCAGTAATTATATATTTTTTTTATAGAAAAATAAATTATATGATAATCATAATGAAACAAATTTTTTAAAGTAAATATTTTAAAAAATATATTATGCAAATATATAAAAATATATTCTTACAATTTTAAAATTTTTTTAATTTATTTTTATATTACTTTTTAGTAATATTTATATTTTTAATGTTTTTATTATTTTAATTTTTTATAGTATAATAATCGTATATTTTTTAAAAAAAATTTTGAAATCTAAAATGAAATGAAAATTCTAGCATAACCAAAAAATCGGATAAGCAAATTGTTTTCATTTAATTTCTTTGATCAAAAATTTTTTTATTATAATTATACAAACTTTTATTCTATTATATATATCTATTATATATTATGTCTCTTATGCAATGTAACTTATTAAATATATAAAATATTTCAAATACATCAAAGACATGAAATTAAAGACATGAAGAAATTAATATAGTTGTTTCTTTTTCATTTTACTATATTAAAATTTTTATTATATTTAAAATTTTAATAAAAATTCTGAAAATTTTATTATATGATTAATAAAATATAAGAAATAGTAATTTTTTTATTAAATGAAAATTTTTATTAATTGGATAATATCCTATAAGCACTAAAGAATAAACAATGAATTGTGTTCCTAAAAGTAGGAATGGGGAACTTGTTGCTTTGTAGACGTTACTGGCATACAGAACATATAACACAGATTGAAGAAAAGTCAGTAGTCAGTTTGTAAAGATCATTCAATGTAATTCGATTATTTTGTCTTGTGTGTTTATTTAAATCCATGTGTATTTTATCCTGTATTATTCCCGTTAATAATTGATTCATTAATAAATATTTTTAATTTTAAAATTTATTTCATCCTTAAAATTATATTCAAATTATAAAAAGTGTTTTTGCAAAGGTTTTTTTTTTTCTATGAATTTCTCATCAGTAATATTAGTATAATAAATTAAATTTGCTAGATTAATAATACGTGTTGAAAGTGAATTCATACTTTGAAAATATTGAAATAAAGTGAAACGAGACAAACATGAAGAATTTGAGAACTGCTATGCTATTCGTCGTTGTCCTCATATTGGGACGCCATGCCTTGAGTGCCACTGCTTCTGCAATTCCTATGTGGGAATTCCTCTCGAGGGGTGAGAAAGTAAGTATTGTTTTATCATAATTAAATTTATAGTGCGTACATTTTTTTCTGAAATTTCTTTTTGTTAAATTTTTAGATATTATATTTAAATTTTATATTATATCGACTTATTATTTATTTTTATTTAAAATAATCAATACAATCATTTGTCTTTTTTTAAAAAAATATATATAATTAAATATTTTGCTTTAAAACAATTCATATTAGAATAATTTATATACAATATCAGTAAAAACAGATTAAATACAATCGACTATATGAAAATTAAGCATATTGAAAATTTTTTTTATACATTTATATAATTTATTTGAATATAATTATATAAGTATTCTTTGATAATTGACTTTTTTTTATAGAAACAATTTTGAGAAATAATTTGTGAATGGTTTTGTTATTGTTATTTGTGATTTAAATTTTTTGCTTAATTCTAGCAATAAAAAATTTTGAAAAATTTTTTTCAATAAATATAAATATAAATATAAATATAAATTTTCTATTAATTTTATGATACAATAAAATTATTAAATATTTAGAAAATAAAAAAATAATTATATATGACTGAATAGTCATTTATTTATTTTAAATAATCTTAAAATTAACATGTTTTAAAAATAATACATGAAAAAATAAAATAAAAATAAAAATTTTTTATGTATTATTTTAAATAAAAAATATTATATTTATTAATTATAAATATTATATTATATTTATTAAAAAAAATAATCATTAATTATTATTTTAAATGAAATTGTTACTTTAGTAAGATAAATATATTTTTTAAATAAAATAATAATTTATAAGAACATTAAAAAAATTAAAGAAATAAATATAAGAATATATTAGAATAAAAAAAAGAAAGAGAAATGTAATATATTTTTATTCTATATATATTATTGCAATATAAACATAACTAAATGTGTATAAATAATTTATTAAAATTATACAAATATAAAAACAATACATTTTAAAAATGTACATAAATAGATATATTTAAATTAAATATTCATATTCCGAAAAAATATTATGATAAATAATTATATATATTAAATAATTATTTAATAAATAATATTATTAAATTAATTATTTTAAAAATTTTATTTAATATTAACAATAGTTATTATATTAAAAAATTTGAAAATTATCAGTTTGCTTTTAATTTTATAATTATTCTATAATTCTATTCTAATCATAAACTTGATAAAAGAAAAAGATTAAAAATCAAAAGACAGAATATAATAGTACTGAAAATTCATTGCAAATATTTAAAAACTAGTATACATACTCATATAAAAGAAATAGTTGTTTAAAATGATTTCTACATCATATTTAAAAATCATCGAAATCGAGAACATATTTTCCAAATTATTGAATTTAAATTCAAAATATATAACATTCCTAAATTTTGCATATCTATTTGAAATTATTTATATAAAGAAATTATTATATTCATTTTCTATTTATACTAATTATTTATCGAATGGTTTTCTATTCATATCAATTTTTTTTAGTTAAGAAATTTTTTAAAAGATAAGATTTTTTATAAAATACTTCTCTGTTAATTACACAGTAAATTTAAATACTTCAGATTAGATCGGAATCGTGTGTGCATATGTGCGAGTATGTATATATTATTTATATATATGTATATATTATTTATATATATTTTTATCTATCATATATAATATATATATATAAAAATTTATTCTTTTACTTATATATATATTATATATATAACTTGAAATTAAAATTTAAATTTATATATTAAGTAATATAGTCTTAGAAATAATAAATATTTTTTTATTTTGTATATAACTTTTATCTATATATAATAAATTGCAAATTCGATCTTTTTCAAATAAGGTAGAGAAAAAAATAATTATTAGCAAAAAAGTTAATAAAAGCTTTATAATTTTAAAATAAAATTTTTATCAGGAATGAAAAAAATAAAAATTTCAAAGATGAAATAATTTATAGGTATATATGGATTAGTTTGTTACAAGATTGTTTTTATAAAAAAAAAATTTTTTTAAATTTTATCATTATACAAATAAATTTTTCAATATTTTCTTTTCAATCGAAAATATTTATCTATTATGATTACAATAAATTTTAATGGATTGTAAAAGATATATTTACAGAAATGTCATTAAAATTAAATTCTAGATTGAATCGGAATGTCATCGTACAACCATAAATGAAACCAAAATATATGTATATCAATTATTGTATTTTACATAGATGTATCACAAACAAAAACATGTTTCGCATGATAAATAACATTTCTCGTGACGAAAAAAAAAAAAGACATGTATCGCAATCAAAATCCAATACGTGATGTATGATACAGGCTATGGCACGCATATATATTTGTTTGTTATAACTGTATCCAATATCCTGCGTGTTACACATTGTCGAGTTTCACCGGACGCGCATAGAATGCATTTGTCATTACCAAATGGAAAACAGCTTTCGCGATGATTAACAGTTCATACAGACAAAAATATATTCATTCTCTGTATTGATTCTAACAATTTCATTGATTCTAAATAATAATAATAGTATTATAATTTAAGAAATGATATAGTTTTTAAAAATTTGAATAAATATGAATAATTTTTTAATTAAAAATTAATCTCGAAAATAAGATTCAACGATTTTATTATTTAATGATTTAATGATTTTATTAGAAACTAATATTTAATTGAGATTAAATGAAATATTTTCTATATCATTATTTAATAATTAATTTCTTTTGTAATATATATTTATTTTATTTAATATTCAATGAAAATAATATTTATTTAGAGATAATGTATAGGATATTTACTTTCAGATGAGTTACTTGTTAAGAATATTCAGCCTACAGGTGGCCAAGTACTGTATGGATTCTTCAATGCCAGATTGTAATAAAAATTTATTGCTTACCGGGATAAGGAACTTAGGTAACATGGAAAATAATGTTCTTGATAAATTGGATCCGTATCAACGTGACGCGAAAGGACTTAGTAAGATCTGCAATTTCATTATGAATGAAACATAATAATAAAAATTAATGATATTTTCGTTAATTTATAATTTCTTGTTTATAGTTTGGCGTGCCATGATAAAAAACGCATATAATACAAGAGTCGCTCACAAGCCAGATGAATTTTACTTCTCCGTCGGAACAGATTCATTAGGTATATATTTTGAATTAAAATAATAAATTTTAACAAAAGAAAAAATTTGAAAAAATTAAAATTATTAGTTTTAGTTTTATTCAATTTCAGAATCTTTTTCTTGATTTCTATTTAATTTTGCATTCTGAGATTATTTTAATTCCTAGTTTTGTTTTTCTGAAACATTAATACAAATCAAAGTTCTAATTGTCAAAAAAAAATGAAAGATTATATTTAAATAAATATTTCTTTATAATTATATATATATTATAATTTATAATTATAGTTTATAATTATATGTTTATAATTATATTTTAAAAAAAATTCAATAATAGAAAAAATTGAAAAAAAATAATATAACTTCAGTTTATTTTTTTTTTTTTTGAAAATGAAATTATGCATTAAATAATGAAATCAATACATTAAATGACTTATATTTAATTATAATTCAATCCTTATATATTACTATTATATATATTATATATATTCTTTTTTTACATAAAAAATTCAAAAAAAAGAAAAATATTATAATTAGGAAATTTTATCTTTATTTAAAAAGATATATTTTTGCAATCAAAAATTTTTCTGCGGATAATATAAAACCTTGATTTTTTTAAACTTTTACGTGGATATATTATAATATTTAATAAATTTAATGTTATTATTATTCTTACAATTCTAATATTCTATTCTATTATTCTATTCTATTCTATTATTTACAAAAATTATAAATATAATAATTATTTTTATATATGATGATGATGATGATAGTGATAATGACAATAATAATAATAATAATAACAATAACTATAATAATAATACATTTTAAGATATAGATATAATTAAATATATAATTAAATATAATAAATAAATTAATATATATTTATATATTTAAGGAATAAAGAACATATTTATTTAACATATTTATTAAGCTAATATGAATTCAAAATCGGATTCCATATTATCCATATTATAGGATAATATAGGATTTTACATTACAGTAGCAGTAAATTAGTTTTAAAAATTTTTTCATATTTATAAACAATTAAAAAATTTATTAAATTTTTTATTACAATAAGTAAATTACTATCAAACTAATTTAAAAATATAATAACACCATTACGAATAAAGAAATAAAAAAATTGATATATAAATTTTTAAGAAAATATATAAATATTATTAAGAAAAGATTTTTTGATTTTATGAACATATTTAAGTTATTATAAAAAAAATATTCTATTATAAAATCATACATATTATCCAATATTAATTTTATTAGGGATTTTCAATTTATCAGCATTATCACGTTTTTCTCTATTAATTAAAAAAAAAAATGTCGTAAAAATCATAATAACGAAATGTCAAATTACGAAAATTGTTCATTGTTATAAACATAAAGAAATCAATAATTGTTTTACATGTTTTATTTTCGTAGTCTAAATGAATGAAAACATAAATACTATGAGAAAGTTTCAATTGTACATGTCCCATTAGAAAGTTTTTTTTTTCTTCATTCGAATGAGATCACATTTGATAGCTAGATGCTTCTTTTCAATTGGACCAACTTATTTAACTGCACTTTCACCCAATCATTTGAATACATGAATCAATGGTTTAGAATGGTTTTTTTGGATGTCATAAAAATGTTATTTTTTAAAAGATTTGAGATAGAGATATTATATTTATATAAAAAGAAAAACAAATAAATAAATATAATCTCTTTTGCATTTACGTATTATTTTCGAAAAGATTTTATTGAAAAAATTATTCAGCAAATAAAAAGAAAAAAGTACTATATTAAGCTAATATGAAAATATTGAATTATAATGCAAAGGTCATATAAGTAAAAAGAAAAATAACTTTCAAATCACATATATTTAAGTTAAATCATAATCAAATCATACAAATGTTAATTAGAAAAAATTAAATGGCTATTTAATATTAAATTCATTTAAATTATTAATAGATTCGTTTTTTTTAATAAAATTAATAATGACGTTAAAATTTAAAGTTATCTTAAAAAATGATTATAAATATATAAATATTATAGTTTTGAAACAAATAATGAATGAATTTTTTTTAAATCTAATTTTTAGAGAATAATTTATGATTTTAAAAATCATCAGAAAAAAAAAATATATATATAGTATATATATATGTGAATGTATATAATGTATAATGTAAAATGTATATATGTTTATGAATGTATATAAATAATATGAATATATATAATAAATAATAAAATATAAATGTTATGAATATATATAAATAATAGTATATGAATGTTTAGTGAATATATATAATTTATACAATGTATAGATTAAGTATCAATAAATGAGTACTTACAAGGATTAAAAAAAGATTATTATGGATCTTTATTCGGATATTATTTCGTATTATATATGAAGAATATTGAAAAAAAATTTAAAAGAATATTTGTGGCAAATTTATAATCGATTTTTTAAATTGTCTTGAAAAAGATTGTATAAATTGCATCATAAATAATAAGCATTATTTTAAACAATGTTTTTGTTTTAATTTTTTTTATTTTTATTTATTTCAATTTTTTAACAAAATTATTTATTTTATTTTTTTTTTTTTTTGAAAATTATAATTAAATTAATTTATAGTGTTAAATGAAATTATATTTTTATTATTCTTATTTTTCAGTTATCAGTGATAGCGATATAAATGGTATTGGAGAAGAAACAATGACAACGCGTGATCGTGTTCAATTATCTTCTAAACACGCTGGTCCCTTCCTGGTCGGACCAATGGTAATTCGAGTATACCCGGATGGTCGACCAGTTGCAGAAGATTTGATGCGTCCTCTGCCTCGAGACGAAGATATGGAAGAATTCAGACATTCTCAAATACCCTCATTTGAAAAAATGGAAACTAATAAAGATATTTTCTTCGAAAAACAATTAAAAGAAAGCACACTTATAGAACCTAATAATCATGGGTTGCCTCAAGAGAAGATTGTTCATCTTCGAAATAATCATTCACTATTTAAGAGACGATTACCTCAAGAAATAATTGTAAAGCGTAAGATACGGTATTATTGAATAGTATCTAAAATTTAAATTCATTAGATAGTATTAAAAATCTTCGTTGTGAATATTTGTAAAATTCATCGAATATTTGAGTTCTTAGAAATAATGAAAATGGAATGTTTAGTGAAAACTTTCCTTTAAAAAAGTTAGAACTATTAGAGATGTGTAAATAGTTAAAATATATAAAAGATAAAAACTAAATATTTAGTTATTAAATGTACTTAGAAAATTTGAAGATTTACTGGTATAAAAGATAATATTTTTTTCAGATATAATGAAGTCATACTTAAAATATTAATTTATATTCAACAAAATTATTGTTATTTTTTATAGTTTATATTGCAAAATATTTCATTTTTATGAAAAATTTTTTATAAAAAATGGTGTTAATGGTTGTTTAAATGTTAAATAGAAATTAATTCTTGATGTAATATTTAAAATATTTAATCATTTTAAAAATGATTAAGTTTAAAAGTAAAAGAATGAATAATATTTTTTGATAATTTTAAATATTAACATTATTAGATAAGATTTTTATAAAAATTACCGATAACAAATTTAAAAAGACTGCTTTTAATAATGGTATTAATATTTTATATGAATATTAATCACATAGTCTCCAAAAACATTTAATATAGAATATAATACTTAGAAAGTTAATTGACGATTGGTCGACACTAAAATTGTTTATTTTTGTTGCAGCTTTTAGATTTTATTTAATAAGTACATTATACAAAACATTATCTATATTTTTATAGATTGCTGCATGTATTTTTATAAAAAATGTCGATCATGAATATTTTCCATTATTTTATTACAATTATTACTATATGTTTTCCATTAATTTATTATTTATTTTATCATTCTGCAAAATATCATTTAATTTTACATTAATTCCATTTATAATTTCACTCATTTTTAAGTAAAATTCAAATATGCATGAAATTTAGCAATAAACATGAAAATTAAAAAATAAATAAAAAAATTCAATTTTTTTCTATTATATGAGATTTTTTAAAATCTCAATTATATTTTCAATGTTTTTATTTGTTTTTAAAATATATGTCTTTGTGGTATATGGGAACTTACCTCGCTAAAAAATTTATTATTTTTCATGCTGAGTGAATATACATATAAAATTCATACAGTATAATATTAAAAATATATTTTCACACATATATTGAAATTTATGTTGAATATTTTATTTGACAAAATATATTTATTGTAATTGTATAGACAAATTTGAACGACGAAAACAAATTGATTTGTAAATATTTGTATAATTTGAGTTGTTATATTTTATATATTATAAAGATTTGGTATATAATATTTACACTTTTTATATATTTTAAAATGTATTAAAACTTTCATTAAAATATTTTGATATTTTGTTCAAAATATACTAATGTAATATAAAAATACAATAAAATTGTTTATAAATTTTTATAAAATTTGATTTAATATTAAAGCATTGATATTTGATTTGAAACAAATTATTTTTATTTAATTATTTTAAGAAATTTGTAATCTTTTTTCTTTTTTTTTAAATAAGTTCTATGAATTAATTGAAAAATGTTAATTATTTTTATAATTTATTTATTATTATAGATTTTTATTTTTATTTATTATTGAGAAAATATTTAATCAAAATGAAAACAGCACTTTAATATCATTTATTTCACAGTTATTTGCCAATCTTGTTTGAGTATAATCAATGCTTCGACTAAATAAGGCAAGGGCGGAACAAGTATTTCGATGAAAAGTTTGGGGGGGGGATACAGCAGATACGAAGAAGGCATTGAACTGATTCTGATTGTTGAATTTTTTTCAAGTATTATTTAAAAAAACATACAAAAGAAAAATGTCTTATGAAACAAGTAAGTGATACATTAACATTTTAACTATTTTTTGTGTTTTTCAAACAATTTATTATTATCTATTTTATGTGAATATCGACTTATTCAATTTTCCGGTCTTATCTCAAGCCAAATCATAACACTTCAAATGCATCCACATATGTACATGTCATGATAGATGTGTATATGTCATGATAGAATAGATTATAATTAAAATAATTATGAATTTTTAATTATGAATTTTTTTTATATATGATTATATATACAGAATTCATTATATATCATTCATTTGCTATTTTTATCGAATTTATCGAATTAATTATTTTTTAATAAATTAATTATTTTTTATTTTTGAATATATATATATTTTAAGTAGATATATATCTTTATTATTAAAATTAATATTTACAATAACAGTTAATATCTTGTCACATTGAATTCAATTTATAATAATAATATGAAATGAAAAAAATGAATGATAATCATCATAAAAAATATTTTAACAGCGTATTATTAAATTAAATATTTGATATATATAATTAAATTTATAAAAATAGAAGAAGCAGAATAAATCTTCACTTTTTAGTAAGAGAATTAAGATATTTTTCTATTATGTTATATGTTTTAAAAATTTAATTATAAGCATTATTATATCTTTTCTATCTCTTATTCTATCTATTATATCTAATTATAATATATTTTTTTCAATATAAATATGCTTAATTTTATTAACTAAAATTTAATCAAAAATAAATTATCTAAGAAATATCAAAAGCAAGCATAATTTTAAACCAAAATACAGAGTTTTGATGCTTAAAATAATTTAAATTATTGGACTTATGCCAATGAATCAAGGAAATATATTTTAGTTCCAATTAGAAAATGTATTATACAATTTTCTTCAAATTTTATGAATTTTATGAAGTAACATTAATAGTTTATATTTAATAAAATTTTTATTTTATATGTATTAAATTTTATATATATTGTTTTCTTATAATATATATATATTATAAGAAAACATTATTTTAATCTTATATTTGCAGAGTACATATTTGCTACATTACCTAAAACACAAAGAGGACAACCTCTTGTATTAGGATGTGATCCTAAAGGAAAAAATTTTTTATATACTAATGGTAATAGTGTAATCATTAGAAATATTGATGTAAGTATAATAAATAAATAAATAATATGTATATATTTTTTATACAATATTATATACATATACATATATATATAAATTTTGCATTTAAAAATATCTTTAAATATTTTAATAATTTTTCATTTTTAGAATCCAGCTATTGCAGATATTTATACAGAACATTCTTGTCCAGTTAATGTTGCAAAATATTCTCCAAGTGGATTTTATATAGCATCAGGTGGTATGTATAATTATAAATAAAAATTTATTAGAAATTAATAGATAAAAACATAATAGTAATTCAATAATAACTCAACTAATAAACACTTAAAAATATAAACATTTTTTTATTATAGATCAATCAGGTAAAATACGTATTTGGGATACTGTTAATAAAGAACATATTTTAAAAAATGAATTTCATCCAATTGGTGGACCTATTAAAGATATAGCATGGTCATTTGATAATCAACGTATGGTAGTTGTTGGAGAAGGAAGAGAAAGGTAATTTTTTATGTGAATTGAATTATGTGAATTTTTGAATTGTATTATTGAATACAAAAAGTGACAATTGTTAGTTTCTTCTAGTCTATTTTTTAGAAAAATAAATATTCTCCAACATCAACAAAACATGTTATAATATCAATTTTAAAGATAGATTTTGAAGATAATATAGGAAATGTATAGGATTATTAGAAAAAAATAAATAATTAAATATTTTACTTAAAAAAGAATGTTTTTTATTCAAAAGAACTGAGACTCTTCTGCATTCACTAGTATAATTTTAATAATAAATATATTTCTATAATATATATCTGTAATAATTTTATTTAATCTTTAATTTTAGATTTGGTCATGTGTTCATGGCAGAAACTGGTACATCTGTAGGTGAAATTTCTGGTCAAAGTAAACCTATTAATTCATGTGACTTCAGACCTACTAGACCATTTAGATTAATCACTGGAAGTGAAGATAATACTATTGCTGTTTTTGAGGGACCGCCTTTTAAATTTAAGTATGTATATGAAAATATCAATAAATCAATTTACTATAAAAATTTTTATTTTTGTGTACAAATTTTAGAAATAAGTAATTTTGTAAAAAAATATTTGAATCTTATTTATTATTATTTATTTTATTATTATTATTATTTATATTTGAATATTTTATTTATTATTTTTTTCAAATTATTAAATAACAAACTGATTTTTTAAATTTTTCTATTCTATTTATAGTAATTTTTGTACAAATTATAAAGATAATTTTAAAAAATTTCATTGAAATATTTTTGAATGTTATTATTATTAAATATTATTATTAAATATTCAAAAAGTTGTGAATATAAGTAGCATTCTTTATCTATAAAATTAATAAAATTCAAGATATAAAAAATTAAAACTTTTATTTAAATGATAAATTTTTAATAAAATAAATAATTATATATATACAGAATGACCAAACAGGAGCATACTCGATTTGTTCAAGCAGTGCGTTATTCTCCTAGTGGTAATTTATTTGCATCTGCAGGATTTGATGGCAAAGTATTTATTTATGATGGTATAAACTCCGATCTAATTGGAGAAATAGGATCACCAGCTCATCAAGGAGGAGTATATGGGGTAAGTAAAAATTAAATCTTTTAAAAATAAATACTTTTAAATATACTAATAAATATACTAATAAAGAATACACTTATTTTTTGATAAAAATTCTTCATACAGGTGGCTTGGAAGCCAGATGGTAGTCAATTATTGACTGCTTCTGGTGATAAAACATGTAAACTTTGGGATGTAGAAACTCGTTCTTTGATTAGTGAATTTAACATGGGAACAACAGTTGATGATCAACAAGTATATAAGCTTTCAATTATATAATACAATTAATAATGATTCTGAAAAAAATAAAAATAAAATGAGATAGAAAATTAATTTTTTTTAGGTCAGTTGTTTATGGCAAGAAAAATATTTGCTATCTGTATCTCTAAGTGGTTTTATTAATTATTTGGATGTTGATAATCCTACAAAACCACTTAGAATAATAAAGGTATAAATAATTTGAATGCATAATAAAAATGTTTTTATAATATAAATTTTTAATTCTGCACTTTTTTAGGGTCATAATAAACCAATAACAGTATTAACTTTGAGTCCTAATAGAAGTACAATTTATACTGGATCTCATGATGGATATATTACTAATTGGAATGCAAAAACGGGAGAAAATAATCGTATTCAAGGTCATGGACATGGAAATCAAATTAACGGAATGAAAACTACAAAGAATTTGCTTTATACTGCTGGTATCGATGACACATTAAGATTAGTTGATATTGATACAAATATGTATACAGATACAGTTATAGTTAAATTGGATTCTCAGCCACGTGGTTTAGATATTTATAAAGATATAGTTGTAATTGCAACCATTCGACAGGTAAAGTTATTTTATTTTAAATAACTAATTTAATAAAATTAACATTAATTAAACATAATTAATAATTATGTTTTTCAGATAACTGTTACACAAGATGGACGAAAGATATCAAATACATCTATTGATTATGAACCATCTTGTATATCAATTAATCAAGAAAATGGTGATATAGCTATAGGAGCCACATCAGATAATATGGTATAATTACTTATATTAATTTATAAAAATTTATGTAAGTATATTTTACGAAAATATAATGAATTTTTTACATAATTTTTAGCTTCGTATATATGCACTATCAGGTACAAATCTAACTTCAAAAATGGAATTACAACATTTAGGTCCAGTTACAGATGTTGCTTATAGTCCTGATAGCAAATATTTGGTAGCTTGTGATACAAATCGAAAAGTGGTTCTTTATACTTGTCCAGAATACAAGGTAAAAAAAAAAAAGTATTGATGAAAATTAAATTAAAAAACAATTAATTTATCTTTTCTATAATTTTCTTATATGATATAATCTTATATATAGAGCGAATCACAATGTGATTCAAAAATAATATGACTATTTCAAATATAAACTATTTATTGTATAAAAAAATGTTTTTGTAAAAGTGGATAATGATAATTCTTAATTTATTTTTATATTATTTAGATATAGAGAATATTAATATATTCGAATAATTGAAAAAATCTTGAAAATCTATTCTAAAAATCAAAACAAATATAAAAATGGTGACTTATTTATTAAATTATAAACAATTTAAGTTTGCATTACATTAAATGAGATGGAAATGGCAGTGTGAAACAGTGCTATCTTATTTTCTTTTTGTCTTGTTTTATTTAATATAAATATCAATTTATTAAATAAGTTTCAACTTTTGTATACTAAATTTTATATTTATTTTAATTTTTAAATTCAATTTTTAAAATCAACCTTCTAAAAATATTTTCAAATGTATAATATATTAATAATAGTGTATAATATATTAATACACTATATAGAAGATATATGAAAATAATCTTTGTTTTGTTTAAATAAAATCATATATATATTTAATAAATTTATTAATTAAAATTTTGTAAAATTTATGAAAGATAAAAAACATACAAACTGATATATAATTTTTGTTCATTTTCTTATATTTTATGGTAAATATTATTAAATGTTAAATAAAATTAAAATTTTTAAACTAAAAATAAAATTAAATAATTCTTTATTATAAATGATTTAATAGATATAAATGATTTAAAATGATTATCTATTTTGATTAATTGTATTAAAATGAAAAAATGAAAAACTTATTGAAACCGATAACATTTTTTTATATAATTTATATTTTTCGAAATAATTATGTGCATCATATATGTATAATATTAAATATTAATTGCTTTTAATTTTGTTTTTAATACTTAGTAAAATTCATTATTTTCACTAAAATTTATATTAAATTTATTGACATATTTTATATTTTTAATGCATATATTAAGATTAATATCTAACAAAATATCGTAATTGCTATATTATATATATATCCATTTTTTTTAACAATTGCTTCTTCTAAATGCTTATTGGATTTTTAGAGGGTGAGTATTTTTGCTTAAAAATAATTTTTTAATTGAAATTTGATTAAAAAATTTATTAAAGAATATATAATTTTACAGCTTGCACATAATAGAGAATGGGGTTTCCATAATGCAAGAGTGAATTCTGTAGCATGGTCTCCTAATTCCATAATGGTTGCAAGTGGTAGTCTTGATACAACAATTATCATTTGGAGCGTAACAAATCCAGCAAAACATACTATTATTAAAAGTAAGTATATATAAAGTACCATTTCTTTTTGTGTTATTTTATTTTTATAATTATCATATTTTATTTTAAATACAATTATCAAAAATAATTTTGTTTTAGATGCTCATCCCCAAAGCCAAATAACACGTTTAGTTTGGTTAGATGAGGAAACATTGATCTCAGTTGGTCAGGATTGTAATACTAAAATATGGCGTATAGAACAGATTTAATTAATAGTTTGGAAGATATGTTTCTTCTTTTTAAAAGAGCTTCATTTTTGAATGCATTTTATTTATTTTGTAGTGAATGAATATTGTATATTATATTATATTTTTTAATATGATTTTCGGAATTAATTGATCAATCTGTATTTTGATTTTATATTTGATATATCGAAATAGTCAAAACAAGTACATAGTATATACAATCGAAATTGCTACAATGTCTTTTTACATTTTTGCGCTGTGTCAATTATAAATAACATTTTTTACATACAATTATTTTTTAGATATTTACAATATAATGAAAATATGTTGTCTTTTTGATTATTCAATTTTTACTAGGTGATTGTAAAAAGAATTAATTATGAAAAAAAAAAAAACATCAAAACGGGACATGTCTAATTGTCTACTTTGTCTTTATTAAAACATCTTAACGATAACAAGAAAACAATAACAATTCGAACACTAAGGGCTTTAAGGAACGTGATCACGCTTTTTTTAAATTATTTGTACACTTAAAACAACATAATCAAGGTTACTATAATTTGCCTTATTCTTAATCAGTCTAGTACTGAATATTTCTTAAAAAGTTGAGGTACATAAGTTTTCATCTTAAATCTTCCACTAATTTATTTTTATATGATAAAATATTTAATTTTTATATTTAAAGATTTTATATGTAAAGATTAAATATTACATTAAAAATTAGAAAGGATCATATAAATTGGGAAATAATCTTCATATATTTTTGTTTTAATTTGTATTATCTATCTATATGGACTTTTTTAATTAAATAAATAATGATATGGAGTGTACCATTTGAACAAGAAAACATTTTAATAATTTTACAATAAAAAATTAATATTTTCATATCGATTCTACTTTCTTTTTATAAATCAAAAATCTATAATTTAAAAGAAATATATATACTCTAACAATAAATAACGAAAACAATCAAGAAATTTCTGATATTTAATTATGATTAATTTTTTTCATTTTTAGTTCATAATTTTTTTTGTTTTTTTTTTGTTTTGTTTTGTTTTTTAATCAATACGCATTTACTTAGATCAATAATACGTAAAATATTTAGGATATTAAATAACACAAAAGATTTATGTTTTAAATAAATCCTAATCCTAAAACAAAGATATAAATCAAGGATAAAGATATCAATTTTTATGATTTCGGTGTACTATAACGTGAACGTTTTTGTGGCGAGGCCACTGGATGTCTATAAGAAACGTGCTTTCTAAGGGCATCTCGTGATCTTGATACATGTGAACAAGCTGTGCAGCTATATGAACTATTACTATGAGTTTCCATATGTACTCGCAAGTTATATTGATTACTTAATTGCTTTCCGCAAATAAGACAAGTAACGCTAGATTTATTATAATTCTGAGAACTTTTACCGCTCACAGAGCTGGTAAGAAATTTAAAATTCGCATCCCAAACAGGAGGAGGTTTTGTATCTTCTATTGGAGTAATTTGATCTTCTAAAGCAGGTGTACTCTCATCTATTCCACTTTCCGAATATGTTTTCTCAACATATTTATTGGTAGAAGCATTAATGGAAGGAATACTAACTTTTTCTCTTGTATTTAATTTCGCATTAATAGAATAATAAGGTTTAGTCTTCACACAATAAGGTATACTTTCTTGATCATTAAAGGTTTCCTCTACATTTTCAGTTGTTTCTGTTTCTAGAACAGTTTCTAAAGATTCGCCACCACTTGCAGTATTGTCTTTATTTTCTTTTTTTATTGATGTTTCGGCTAATACTTTTTCTTGTAGCTGTACTGGTGTAGGTTGAACATATAAACCATTATCATGTCTCGAATTTTTCTGTAAAAAAAAATAAAAAAAAAAAAAAAATAAAAAAATAAATAATAATTGTAAGAAATATGAAGATAAAATATGAAGATGACTTTTACTTTTTTTAAATTTATTTTTTATATTTTATTAAAAGATATTCCTGTTCTACCTAGCCTCTAAGATTATAATTTTTCAATCATAAAAAAGTAAAATTTAATTTTATTTTTCAAAACATTTTTACAACTTTATTTTTATAAGTTATAAAAATTTTCATGCATTGCTCCACATTTGTTTATATTCATTTTTTAAATAAAAAATAGGATTATTATATATATATATTTATACATTAATTCTAAATATTTGTTATAGCCACTCTTGACTAAAATATAAAGCATTATTGTAATGCAAAAAAGTACACATTATATAATAAAGACTTAATTGTTCTAAAAATATCTACTAAAAGTTTTAGTCATAGAGAGAGATTTTTGGATAAAGCTATTTTAGATATACCTGTAAATTCATTCTATGGGGAAAGGTTCCATGGGATGCATCCACTTGCATTTAGTTGCAACACACACAACGATCTTGATCTCGTGGATATCGTTTATATTCATTATCGTTCCTTCGATGCACGCGTGAACATAATATGTGTAGTATTTCCTTCATGTGATACTTCTTGAGGAACGACAGTGAATGTATTTAAGTGACCTGAACAAAACAACACGATCAGAGGGTAATATAAAGATTAAAGAAGGAAAAAGCAAATGTAATTTTGCTTAGAAATTATTTTTTAGTAATTTTATGTGGAGGAAAGTGACAATTATTTAATTATTAATTTATTCAAGTATTTCTTTTGTTTTGTTTAATTATTTAATATTTGTTATTTATATATTATGAATAAAATATAAAATATAATAAAAATCTATTTTAAATTAGATAAATCAAATATAAATTTTGAAAATCTTTTGATATAAATTATATTTTTATTTTAAATATATATTCCTAATATAATAGATACAAAAATAATTTTGATATTTATTATATTAACAATTAATAAATACTTGTACTTATTAGATATTTGATTAAATCTGATTAAAAAATTTTATTTATACTAATATGATTATTGTAAATGAAAATTTATATTTTCATAAATATATAAAAATATTTATATGTTTTTGGAGAACAAATGTTAAAGGAAATTACAATTATCAGCAAGGAGTTACTACTGTTTAAGGCACTAAAAAAAAAATAACATGCTTTGTTACATATATTTTTTACAATTCACACTGAAACAAGCTTCATTGAATAAAAAATAATGATTTATCAAATAATATTAATTACCTGTCTCTATTATATGATTAATAAATAACAATAATAATCAAAATAATATTTATTAAAAATGATAAAAATAGATATAGTGCAATTACTATTTATAAATTAATTTAATAACAAAATTTATTTAATATTAAAATTTAACAATTTTATTTAATTATCAATTTTAAATTCAATTTTAAATTTTTATTTTTAATTCAAAATAAAACTAATTATAAAATTACATTTAATCATTTTATTATTTTTTATTTATATATTTTATATTTTAAATTTTAAGAATAGTTAATTGCATAAAACTTATTTTTAAAGTGCAGTCATGCTAAATGTAAAGCATTAATATAAGAGGTTTGGTAGAACAGAATGTAATTATATAAAAGAAAAATAGAGAAAAATATAAAATTTCAAAATGTTTAAAATGTGCATATTAAAAAAAAAAAAAAGTAGACATATTAAGAAATTTTTACAATACAATATTAACTACAATACAAACATTTTTATAATCATCATTTTGTATTTTTATTATATTGAATAAAAACAAATGAATTTCCTTACCCCAGCTATATCAGCTAATCCACGAATATGTAAGGTATCTGCCATAGCCAAAAGTGCAGGTAATTGTTCTTGATAAATATTCACTTCACCATTATACATAAATGTAACAAGTGCACATAAATTTGCATATTCCATTCCTGGTAATACAATTACAGGATGTTGCAAAGAACTTAAGTCCTAAAAATTGATTTTTATAATTTTTATTATATTTAATCATAAAAGAGAAAAGAAAAAAATATTTAACATCTTAAAAATATATATAATACCTTAAATAATTCTTTAAAATAATAACTACAAGCAGAAAGAATAATTTTATGTGCATGTATGTGCCTACCACCAGCACTTAATGTAACATCTGTTAAATAACCACCATCAAGTAATTTAGGAAGAGAACTCAATAATGTGTTTTGAAAATTGTGCCATCGTAAACAAAATTGTTGCCCCTCCATGTTTTTATATACTGTAAATCAAAATTACAAAATCTTTTAAAATAAGATTTTATATTTTTACTATATATTATTATTAATTATATATACACAAATAAAAAATTTAATAATCACAATTCATATAATAATTAAAAAAATTTTTTAATTGTAATAAAAAATGAAGAAAATACAAATAACAAATAATAATATATAATATTGAGACTATAAATTACACAAACAAAAAATTTTAAATAAAATAAACATAATCCATAACTATGGATAAAAAGTTATATAAAGTAACTACAAGAATAATACTATTTGTTTCTATACCGTTTATTAATCATACATGCATTTTTATTGAAAAAAATAAAACTAAAGATAAATTAAGCTTTCAAATACACGCTTAAGAAGGTTATGTATCTAAGACTCTTAATAAAACACCAAAAAATTTTCTTGAATTTGATTTAATCTATTTGCGCCGGACGAAAGAGAAGTTGGGTTACTGCTGGTAGAGCAGTTCAAGAGATAGACAATACTATTTATTTAATCAGGCTGCAGGTTCCAGCCAAGTCTATTATTGTACTTTCAGGTATGGCTGGAGGAAAGAACAAATATTGGCTGACAATTTATAAGAATTAAATTTCTTTTTCACTATTAATAATTTAATAAAATTTATCAATATCACAAAATAGATTTAAAATTTATACATCATTTGATCTTACCTGAATAAAAATTATTTCATAAAACGATCAATGATATTCTTTATACGATACTTCACATCTATCTGGCAAACTTCGCCATAATTACCACATTACCAGTAACGTAGAAAAAGTATAGTAATCTATACGATGTTGACATACACTGTCACCTGTCGACATATTATAGAAGTATATAAAATGATTAGAAATGAAAATAAGCAAAAAAAGTTAATTATTTTAATGATATTAAATTAATTATTTTAATGATAATTATTTTCAATGATATTAATTTTTCTAATATATTATCATTTATTATATCTAATAATTTTTATTTATTGATAACAATAAAGCTTTTTTTTTATTATTATTATTAAATGTGTAAAAGATTTACAAAAAAACTTAATATTGATTTCATGCGAAAATTATCTCTTGTAAAAGAGATAATTTTATATATATATAATATAATATATATAAAGAGATTTTATATATATTCTAACAGCATATGAAATTTAAAAAATCTTGTTGAGCTAAAAAATATTATATTAAAAAATATAAGATCAATAAATAATTACTCAATATATTTCATATTTATTTTATTTTATTCTATTTTACAATATAATACAATTTTTTACAAAACTTATAATTGTAATCTTTATAAAAAATTGATGAAGTAATTAAAAAAAATTTTTTTTTAAAGAATTGTAAAGAATTCTGAATTTGATTTAATTATAATTTGAATAATGCAATCTTTATAAAACAGCAACATATATATAATTTATACTATTCATGCTATTAATAGTATTTAATATAATCTTAATAAAAAAATAATTAAATTTTTATATAATAATTATATATTCTTATATTACTATTTACAATTTATTTGATTTAAAATGTAAACAAATATATATCCAATGTTTATAACAATAATGTTCTTGATTATTGAGATGGCGCTAGAATTTATGTTTGTTAGAATTTATCAGTTTATCATGATTCATCAATGTGTTATGATTGATCATTATTTGATGTATTTTAATCAAATATCGCAATAAAATATTACACATATTTCATATAAACACATAAACAAAATGTATTTAATTAATCGATCTCTTTGCACTTAAAAAAAATGTCTACTATACGTTTATGGAAGCGAATGTGGTTTCATTTGTTACATATAAGTTTATTCACATTTCCGCTAAGTGATAGCGAGGACACAAAACAATTGACGATTTGTGAACAGAAATCTTCTCATAGGTAAATAAATATAAATTATATTTAAATCTTGATTACTCAGTGATTTAATTCAGTATATGTCATACATATAAGTAATTTTATTAATATTACTTGAATAATTGATATAAAAATTCATTTTTGTATCATTTTATTACTAAAAAATATTATTAAATATTCAAAATACCATTAAATATATACATAATTTCTAATAATATTTGAAAATATAAATTTATTAAATCAAAATATATATTTATTATAAAATATTTTTTTAACTTATTAAGATGTAGAAAATTATATTTTTACATTATTTTGAAAAATATTTATGAGATAAATCATTATTTTTATTAATTATTATAATATTATAAAATAAATAATAATTTAAGTTTCATATTAAGTACCTACATTTAAAATTATTTATAATACTAAATTATACTTTTTGAATATTCTAATAAATATAATAATATAAATATAAATATTAATATAAATAATATGAATAATATAAAATTGCCATTTTTATTTTTTTTCTATTTTATTTATAAGTAAAACATTATATTATAAAATAAAATTAAGATTATAATTATATTAATTTAATTATGTATTTTTTTTTTTCATTTTTTTCAGTTTATTATTTGTAAGTACATTAGATGGGAAAATATCAGCTTTAGATGTTAATAATCTTGAAAAAAAACAATGGACATTAGAATTTAATGAAGGATCTATGTTATCATCAAATATTCATCATAGAGAAGTACATAAATTTTTAATATATATTTTAAATATATTAAATATTTTATTATTATTTTAAATTTATAATTATTGAATATATTTTATAATCTATTATATAATAATTATATAATATTCAAAGAAATATTATTTCATTATTATATTTTTAATGTTTTTGTTCATTATTTTTTATTCTTTAATATTCATTTGATTCATTTTTCTCATTATTATTTATAGTTGAATAGTAATGGAAAATGGCTTCGTTTAATTCCATCTTTAAATGGTGGATTATATCAATTTGATGAAGAAAACTTAGAAGAAGTGCCAATATCTGCAAGTCAATTATTACATTCATCTTTTCGTTATTCGGATGATTTAGTATTCTCTGGTGGTAGAGAACGAAAATCATATGATAAGTATTTTTAAAATGCATTTAATAAGTAAATAAATATTAACATAAGTAAATAAACATTAAAAGAAAAATAAAAAATATATAAATAAATTTTTTATTATAGGTGTATCAAGTATAACAGGAAAAATTTTATATGAATGTGGAATTAGTGGATGTATTAATATTACAGATGGAGAAACATATATTGAACAAGAAATTCTTATTATTCAAAGATTTCAACAAACTGTAAGAGCAATTGAACCACGTACTGGTATTGAGAAGTAAATTTCATAAAATATAAAATTTATCAAATATTATTAATATAAATATTACATGAAAAATATTTTATACTGAAATAGGTGGAATTTTAGTGTTGGACAATATGATTTAGTATTGATTCCTCATTCTGATATTTATTGCCAAAATAAAGTAACACCTCATGTTCCAGATATTGAAATTAAAGTTATTATACCTGAGGGTTTAATTTGGATTGTTAATAGAAACAATCCTACAATAAAATTATCACAACATAAAGTAAATTTTAATTAATGACAAATAAAATATAATTTTTTAAGCTTTATATTGATTATATTTACTTGTATTTTGTTAGTTTGATTCTCCAATTGTTACCATATGGCGTGAAGATGCAATTATAAAAGCCAATGGATATAAAAATTTAAAGGAAATTAATTTATTTGATAGTACACAATGGTCTTGGGGTACAAAATTTTCATCCAGTCCAGCTATTTATTTGGGTATGCATAATAAACAATTATATGTACAAGAAAATACAGAATTCTATAAATCATTAGATGCATCACCAAGATATATACAATATTCAAAATATCCATGGAAACCTTATCCTGCTATTGGTATGAATATTTAATTTTAATTCTTTATCAATTATAATATAATGCATTATATAAAATTATGAATATTTTTTATAATGTATAGAATACAATATTTTTTAGGTAAAGCAATTAAAAAGTCTTTTTTAGATCATGTAACAAATAACAATAATGATGATGATTTGTTTGAAATAAGCGATGCACAAAGTACTACTGCATTATCAGTTCTTTATAATTCAGAATACATAAATGGTATATAAGTATAAAGCATTAAAATTTGTTTTAAATAAAAAGTTGGTTTTTTAATATTTAAAATTATTTTTTGATAAAAATTTTCTTTTAGAAAATGGATTTTATTTATATTCAACACATCAGTTGGAAGTAGATAATAATAAACAATGTAACTATACTAATTCAGATTTAATACTTATTGAAGAAAAACAGAAATTATTTGGAACAAATAATATTCATAAAGACGATGAAGATACTCCTGTTCAAGTTATAATTGTATCATTATGGTATTGGTGGTATGTAAAATGAAATAAAGAAATAAAATAAAATATTTGTTTTTAATAGAAAATATTTTCAATAGGAAGGAAGTTTTAATAATCTCAATTACTACTGCGATTTTACTTAATTTTATGTTAACACAACGTCTGTTAAATGCTACAACAATTGCTAAAGATGCAGTGCTTCCGGTAAAAAAAATATAGAGTATTTTAATATTATAAAATTTAAAAATATTGATTTTAAATAGCAATTAAAAATATTTATTTTCATAATTTTATAGCCTTTAATAGTTGAAAGACATATAGAGAATAAAAATATTCAACTATCTAACAATGAAAAAGAAATTGATAATTTTAAATCACGTTATCTCACAGATTTTGAACCAGTGGATTGTTTAGGAAAAGGTGGTTATGGCGTCGTTTTTAAAGCAAAAAATAAAATAGATGATTGTAATTATGCTATTAAAAGAATTGCTCTACCAAACAGGTTTGTAATTTTAATAAATTCTAATATGATTTGATAATATTAACATAGAAAATAAATTTGATCAAATTTATAAAATTTATATATACTTATTTTAATAGTATATATTCAAGAGAACGTGTAATGCGAGAAGTAAAGGCGTTGGCTAAATTAGATCATCAAAATATTGTAAGATATTTCAATGCATGGCTTGAATGTCCACCTTCAGGATGGCAAGAAAAACATGATCCTCAATGGATAAACAAATTAATATCTCCAAATTCAGATTTTACTTCAGAAATAATTTATACAACACCAAAAATTAATAACTCCATTTATATTAATGTTAGTCAAACTGATCAATCTTCTGATCTAGATAGTGCTTGTGAAGCTTATGAATTAAATTATAATTTAAATGAAGATTCTTTTGTCGTTTTTGACAAATCCTATTCAATTAATCAGAATGAAAATGTTATAAATATCAATAACTCTAGAATTGAGAATTCCAATTCATCTCATTCAATTAATAAAATTGAAAAAATATTAAAAAGTAATAATTTTACACATTCTGAAAGTATTCTATTTAAACTTAACACTGATAGTGAATTTTCAGAAAAAAAAAAGGAAAAAAAACAACAAAAATCATTTTCTTTAGATCTGAACAATAAATCGAATACACGTAAGTCCCCGAAAATGTTTCTTTACATACAAATGCAATTATGTCAAAGATTAAGCCTCAGGGAATGGCTAAAGAACCAATCATTGCGAGATTATCATCATATATTAAATATATTTTACCAAATTGTTGAAGCTGTAGAATATGTTCACTTACAAGGACTTATTCATCGTGATTTAAAGGTAATATTAAAAATATTTTACACAATATATATTATTTTAATTTAATGCTTAAAAAATAAATTTCAGCCTTCAAACATATTCTTTTCTTTTGATAATAAAATAAAAGTTGGAGACTTTGGTCTTGTAACTGCAATGACAGAAAGTTATAATGAAACTCATATTCCCTCCTCAGAAAATGAAAATGTTTCTTTTAAAAACAGTTTACATACTGCATATGTTGGTACTCAACTTTATATGTCACCTGAACAAATGAATGGCCAAGGTTATAATTATAAAGTCGATATTTATTCTTTAGGAATCATTTTGTTTGAATTACTTATTCCATTTGTTACTGAAATGGAAAGAATAAATGTTCTTTTAAATTTAAGAAAATTAGTATTTCCAAAAGATTTTAATAATAATTATCCAGCTGAGGTAAGAAAATCATAATTCATATTAGTGTTTAAATAACAGAAATATTTTCGTTAAAATATATTAAATAAAAATATTTTATTTTTAGTATGATTTATTGAAAATGATGTTAGATGAAAATCCCAACAAAAGACCTACAACATTAGGTATTAAAGCTAAACCACCATTATTAAATTATGAAATAGCTAACGGACTCAGTATAAATGAAAATACAAAATAGCATTTTGAATTGCCTCAATTGACATGAATTTCTTCTGTGATTAGCAATAATAATGAATCTTGCTAAAATATAAATTAAATAATTATAAGTTAAGTTATAATTAATTATAAATAGAAAAAAATTATGAATATATATACTATTTATTTCATTTTTATCTTTTGTTTTATATTTTATAAAATTATACAAATTTAAAAATTATGTTAACAAGAATTACTTGCTCAATTTGTTTTATTATAAAATAACATTTATCCAAAATTATCAGAAAAATAATAGAAATTATAACAATTTAAATATTAATTTATTCAAATGCAATAATAATGCAATAAATTTATAGTTTTTAATAAAGATCATACATTGGCATTTGTTTTACAATAAATAATTAATGTTCATAAAATTTCTTATTTTCAAATGTAAATACAAGCTATTATTGTTATAAAACAATATTCTCTTCTTTGTATAAATATATTTTTTTATATATTCATACTTTAAGTATTTTCTTATATATATCTCCAAAAATGATATTATTTCATTTTATGTGTTTCATAAAATGTTGATTTACTTTAATGTTATTATATAAAAATTATATTTGTCACAATTCAGAATTTTTGTGAATCTATTAAAATAAAAAAATATAAATATTTATAATAATATCAATTTATACTAGTTAATTAAATTTTCATTTTTCATAAATTCTATGATTAATGTTAATAAATAAATTATTAATATAGTAATTTGCTAATTATATTATTAATATTATTATTTTTTTTTAATAAGATTAGATGAAGGATTCAATCATTTAAAATTTTTGATACAACTTCATTTGCAGCTTGTTGACTACCAAGTAAAATTACACCATTTTTAGACAAGACAAAATTTATAATAGAAGTGGAATTAATAATTTGTGGAAGTCTATAAAAACCATATCTAAAAATTAATTATATATCTTATTTTATTTGTAGTTTATTAAATAATTAATTTATTAAATATTAATAAATAAGTAATTTATTATTTTTATTATATATTATTTATTATTATATATTATTATTATATTATATACCCATTTTTAATATCCTGCAATATTTCCAATAAACACCAAATTATTATGAATGTGAAACATATGATTGTAACTTTACAAATAAAACTCCATTCTTTCCAAATTACACTTTCAAATACTAAAAGATTAAAATTTATTACAAATATAATTTAAATAAAATATTTTATTTTAATTAAAAATATTAAAAAAAGACTATATATAACCTTCACTTTTATCTAGTACAACAATACCAAATGTAAATAAAGCTTGTCTTGAAGTTTTAAGTGATTTATTTTTATAATGGTAAATAAGACATGAATAAAAGTTTTCTATTGTATCACGAGTTGTATAACTTGCAATACTAACAGTACTAACTCGTCCATCATCTCTTATATTGAAAAAATCATAACTTGATAACAAATTGATGATTAAAAAATTAATATATATTTATATATATATATATATATAAAATAAATTATTTATATATAAATTTAAAATATTTACTTGTTTCCATATGATAGTAATAATTTATCCATTAAGATCCATGTAGCATATGTCTGTTTTGAAAATATGTGTTTTTTTTCATGAGGAATTGTATCATAGAAACATGATAATTTAAGCTCTTGACCTAAAAATATTGATACTTCTTGATAATGATCTAAAAATTATTACATAATTTTACATTACTACATTATTAAAAATTAAATATAATTTTATTAATATATTAAGAATTATTATACCAGATATACTAATAGTACGACTTGAAAATCGTTTACTACTTGTTTCTAGAATTGATAATGTTATAAGATCTATTTCTTCTCCATTTATATTAAAGTATCCAAGAGTAAAACTCATTTGTGGTACATCAGCACACTCAGAACATATTTTTTCCTATTACGAAAAATCATCAATTTCTAGATAATAAATAAATTTTTTTATTTTAAATATAATAAAAATACTTACTCTTATATTATCACGTATAGCACCTAAGAATATATCAGTTACAGATATAATAATTATTTCTTCAAAACCTAAAGGTATATATTTCTTTTCATTTCCGTTCACTTGCATGTATACATTTTTACTATCATAAGCTACTATTATTTCAAACCATTCTCTTATTGAAATATGTTCTATACTTTCAATTGTAACATAAGTTACTCCTTGATAAAATTTAAGCTTTATTTTTCCCTCTTCTATTAATAATAAAATATATTTGTTTAAAGAATCATCTGTTATTATTGCCACAATTCCATTTATGTTTTCAATTTTTATAGCAATTGTAATCTAAATTACAATGATCATAATAATTATATAATATATATAAATTATTAAAATATTATTACTTAAACAATAAATATTATTTCTTACTTGCCAATATTCTATACATTTTGGACAAGGTACTGCAATTGAATCTGTTAAACCAATATAAATAAAACCTTCATTGTCATCTCCCAGCAAATATTGGACATTATTACTACTGGATAAAATATTTGCATATTTTTTATTATAAGTATCCTAAACAATATATTATGATTTAAAAACATTTATTAAATTACAAGTATATCATTAAATGTAAATAACTTTTAATGCACGAAGTTGAATAGGTGCGAAATTAATTGCTATTTCTTGAATTTGACCTTGAAATCCTCCTATTTTCATTACATGATCCAAATCATATGACATAGGAATACATGAGAAAGTATTAATTTTATGAAGACCATCATCAATACGTAATATACCATGTGTTCCATATATTGCAATTAATACTACATGCCATTGTCCAATCTAGAGAACAATGTATTTGAAATAGAAAAGATTCAATATATAAAAAATAATTTCTTACTTCCATTTTAGTTTCATGAATTAAAGCCAAAGTACAATCAGCAATCTGAGATAGAAGAACTATTTTCCCATTTTGAAGAAATAATTTTACAAAATCACATATTAATCCTTTACAGTTTTTTTCAAAACGATAAATAATCATACCAAAAGGAGACAATGGCAAAAATCTTAAATATATATGAAGTAAACGTGAAGGTCTTCCAGTTGTTTCATAAAAAAGATAACTTTCTTCTGTAAAGTCTGCTATTTCGTGTGATTTAACTTTTAATTAAATTACTATATATAATATTGGTTTACCATATAAATTAATAGTATTATTAAATTCCAAATGTACCTATACATGGTTTAGTGAAACATTGACGAATTTCAGAAGCTGAACCAAAGCAAGATGTACCATTACCATTTGGAGAGGGATTGTTACACATTCGATTTCTCAATTGTGTACCAATTCCACAACTTGAAGTACAAGATGACCAAATTGTCCATGATGACCACATTCCATTTACTAAAAAAAATTTATAATTATAAAACAATTTTTAATAAATTATATATTATAAACAATTTTTATATATATATAAAATATATAATAATAATTTAATAAATTAAATATTATTTTTAAACAATATATATTATTATTTATATAAAATAATATTCTTACTAGAACAATTATTAATTGTACAACCCTTTATTTCTTTGGATACACCTTTACATGATGTTCCTTGTAAATTTTGTATTTCTGAACATGCTCGTTTTCTTGTTCGAATTCCACTACCACATTCTACACTACATATAGTCCATTTACTCCAATTAGTCCATGTTCCCACTATTGAAAATAATTAAATAATATACAATTTAGATTAAATATATAACTAATATACTACTACTAATATACTAACTAATATACTACTAGTATACTTGATAGTTTTCTGCAATTAAGTCCTAGACAATTTTTTGTTTCAAATGCAGAATCATGACATACTAATTTATAATTGGAAGGTATTGGACTGTTACAAATTCTTGTGCGATATTTTAAACCTTTGCCACAAATTGCAGTGCATGGTGACCAAATTCCCCAAGCACTCCAACCACCAGGATCTACAAAAGTTATTTTATTATTCATATGCATTTACAAAAAATATTTATCTTTATCTTATATAAATATATAATTATTTACTTGGACAACCAACATTATATTTAATGCAATTCATAGCATTCCAATAAAGCATCTTTATAAAAAAATATATAAAAATATTATTTCCAAATCTTTTTTTCTATATAATTTCAAATTTTATAATTTATAGTTTTTTATAATTTATTACTGAATTGTTCCCAAGAATTTTTTCTACAATGAAAAATGTACAATCGGCAAGAAAGCATAATTCTATTAAAGCAGGCAATTTTTGATGAATGTCCTTTACAATTTCTAGTTCTTCTTTACGTATAGGATGAATATTTACAATTTTTTCATAATCATTCATGGTACATCCTAAAAAAAATATTTATTAATGTAAATCAATATGTTATTCATAATATTATTTATTTCATAATTATTTAAATTATTATTTAAATTAATTATTATTTATTTTATTTTAATTATTATACCTGTAATATGGCAACTTTCGATTTGATAATTAGGACCAATACAAGGAGCCCCATTATTAGAAGGTATAGGATTATTACAAATACGATGTCTTATTTTTTTTCCTTTAAATCCACATTTTCCAGAACAAGATCCCCAAGGACTCCAAGAAGACCATTCTCCATCAATAGGACATAATTCTTCACTTTTTAATCCAAGATCACAATAAAGATTTTGCATTGCATTAGATACATCATCTATAATAAAAAGATTTAAGAACATATTAAATTAATAAAGTTAAGCTTTACTTTACCAGTAAAAGCAAGGAAAATTAATGAAGTGACAAATATAAATAAGATTATTATAGATGGCCAAATTTTCATTATTATTAACGTATTATTTTAACTAATTTTAAAAATAATTTTAACTAATTTTAATTAACTAATTTTAATTATATTATAAATTAAATAATTATAACAAATTTTAAATAATAAAAAAATTTATGTTATGTTTTTTGTATGTATATATATATATATATATATATGTATATATGCTTTGTATACATATTATGTATTTATAAATATATTTTAAAAGCTAGATTAAATTTATAATTATTAATAGATAATTATAATAATACATATATATTAATAATTACATTATATATTTTTTAATATATTTATATTTTTTTACATTATATTTATATATTAATATATTATATATTTTTTTTAATATATTTTTAATATATATATTTTTATTTTAAATATATCTATAAACTGTTAAATATAAGCAATTCAATTTGAATTCAAATTGTATTTTTTATATATTAAGATAAATTTTAGCCAATAAGATTTGATACTTTTGCATATGCGCAATAGTTTCTTGGATAATATAACTTAAAATTCACATGTATGGCGCGAGCGGCACGAATCTTGTGAATTTGTAGTATTATTAAAAATTCATATATAAATATTCCTAATAAATTGTAGTAAGTATTCCTTAATTAAAATAAATATATTTCAATTTTTTTTAATATATTTATATTTTCAAAAAATATTATAATAGTGTATTAGTATTATTATCATGTAATATTTAGATAATTAAATAAATCTAACCTTTAATCAGAATTTTTTAATTAAAAAGTTAAAAAATTAAAGTATAATTATTAAATTTTAATATGGAAAATACATTAATTGATAATAATTATATAATAATTTACATTAAATAATCTTAACATTTTCTATCTTATTGTATATTCTTATCTTATTTGTATATTTTTGTTAATTTAGTCCTGTGTATATTTAATATTTTTTCCTGTACCATATAAACATGACTCTCACTGAAATGGAACCGCTTAAAATACACTTAGATGCCTTAGAAATGGCAGGAAAAGTAGTTGATATACATATTACAGCAGATAGTAACTTTCCTTCTTTAATCAATCTTATGCGATATAATGTACAAGGTAAAATAATTATTTTCTCTATTTTGTATTTTATTGTAATTTAAGTTTTTAACTAAAAAATTTTTTTAGGTGGACCAACTGTTAGTGGTCTTGATGATCATGATTATCCAAATATAAATGGAATGTCATTGTGTTTTTCAAATATAAATCAAATGAAAGTACATAGTAAAATTTCTTTGCCATCTGAAATAATGGAACATTTTCATCGTATCCTTTTAAAAATAATAGATAATCAATCAATATTTTTGTTATATATATATATATTTTTTTTTTTTTTTTTTTTTTTTTTTTAAGAAATATAAGAAATATAATTTTATAAGAAATATTTCCTTAGTATTTGCTTAGGTGTACAATGTCATTCTATGATGGGACTTTTTACAGAAATTTCAAAAGCATGGCTTACAATTGATAGTGATATATATGTTTGGTCATATGAAAATGAGTATATATATATTAAAATTTATTAAATTTTTTCCATAATAATATAATTAACTTATGTTACTATAATAACATATTTTTAGATCTGATGTTGCATATTTTGATGGGTTAAATGAAACTATTATAAGTGTAGGTTTAGTTAAACCCAAACCAAGTGTATTTCAATCTTATGTGAAATATTTGTTGATTCTTACAACTACAGTAGAAATAACTATTCTTGGAGTTACATTAATAGAAAATGAAGGTATTATATATATATATATATAATTTTAGTTTTATTTTAAAATTATATCTTTTTAATTTTCATTTATTATCATAATTTCCAATTAGGCTCATCCCCAGAAATGCAATTAGTTCCAGAACCAATTTTTACAGTTGCTACAGATGGTATTGGTATTACAACAATAGCAAATACTAATACTGGTAGAATTTTTCTTGGTGGTAGAAATGGATCTCTTTATGAAATATATTATCAGGTAATATTCTATGATGGGATTTGTAGATTTATGATATAATATAATACAAAAATTATGGTTAATCATTATAGTGCACGTTTATTGTGTAGGCAGAAAGTAGCTGGTTTGGAAAACGTTGCAAAAAAATAAATCATTCTGAAGGTCCATTATCATTTTTAGTTCCATCGTTTGTCACTATAGCTTTATCAGAAGAAGAAGCAATAATACAAATTTCCATTGATGATTCGCGAAATATTTTATATACTTTAGGTGATAAAGGAACAATTACAGTGTGGGATATTGATAATGATGGTGCATCCAAAGTTGCATCTTTATCACAAGCTTCCTTAGTACAAAATGCAGTTCATGTTGTTAAGTATGTATAAAATTTTAAATAAAGTAAAGAGCTGAAATTAAAATTCATATTCATTTATAAGAACGTTGGAATTTTAGAACGTTGGATAGTAATAACTTTCGACCATTAGTGAGCATATCTGCTATTACAGAATCAGAATCAGTACATTTAAACTTAGTTGTAATTGCGGCTACTGGAACACGTTTCTACTGCAGTTGCACTTCAGTTTCTAATCCAACAAGTAGACCTCAAGGTTTGCAATTAATACATGTTAGATTACCACCAGGTTATGCTGCTAATGCTACAGTCATGAGACCAAGAAAAGTACAAATGGCACATTATAGAAAAGGTATGTATTAATATTCCTCTATTAAGATAGTGAATTTTTTTTACTATGCAATAGATTTATTGCAGGAACACTTATTCTTGTTTGTGGTGGAGATACAGAAACTGTTTTATGTTTAAGTAATGATGCTTATCCATTCACTAATTATTTAGCTGAAACTCAAAGTCCTTTATCGCTTGATAGTCCATTTTGGACAATGGCTGAAATTCTCGTAGAACCAGCTATACGTATTGAAAAACAAAGTATTACTCAAGAAGAACCTCCTCTTGTTGTAAGACAACATATGGAAGCTCCTCGAAAATTTATATTTTTAACTTCTCAAGTATATAATTAATAAATTTTAAAGTATTATAATTATATAAATATATAATTATATAATTGTATATTTATGTTAATATTAAATGTATTTACAAATCGATTATTTATTCATAGGGTGCCATAATTTATGTTCAAGTTCGTCCAATGGATATTTTAAAACAACTTCTTTTAGAACAACGTGGCCCTGATACTGAAGCCGTTCGTGCGTATTTTCAATCACAATCATTGGAACAAGCATGCGCAACTTGCCTTATTTTAGCTACACTTGAAAGTTCTCAAAATGCTGAGGTATTAATTGAGATTATGAAAATTAAATATTGTAAAATTAAAAAATATTATTTAATTATAATATATAGTTAGCAGAATGGGCAACAAGAGCATTTTTTTTATATGGTAGTCAACGAACAACAAGCATTGGACCTCCAATGGATATACATGGTAATAGATTTACTAATATAAACACAAATATTACATTAACAGTTTCAATTTTTTTTAAGCAATTCTATTAATCTATAAATATCATTATCAAATTTATAAATGCTGTAGATATTTGTACATCAACACCAAGAGTTCCAAATTATGATTTAAGACTTCAAGGTTTTCGGCCTCATGCACCAGTTGGACTTAATACAGATATTTCTCTACAACAGTTTTCTGCAAAACATAATGGTTTATATCTATATGTCGGAAGAATATTACGACCTATATGGAATATGCGTTGTATCAAACAAGAAATTGTAAACAACAAAACTCAAGTAAATTAATATAAATTTTTCCAATATTTTTATTTATATACATTCTAGTTTATTCATATTATAATTTCAGATTTCTAGTACAATTTCAACTAGACAAGTTAGTTGGATTTTAAGTCTCTTACAAGCATTAAGATCATTTCTCAATAAAAATACCCATATTACTAAGCAGTATGTTTTTATATTATTTCAATAATTTTGTGATGATTAAATTTTATTTGAATTTTATTTGGAACTATTTATTGATTTTCAGACATGGTACTAATAGAACAACTGATGGATTTGAAACAACTATACGTAGTCATTGTCAAGAACCAATTGTTGAAGAAAGGAATTCTTTAGCTGCATTAAAAATTTTTATTACTCATGCCTGTGAAGTATTAGAACTTTGGAAAATTCTATGTGAAAATCATTTAAATAATATTGTGAATTGTTTATCAAAGGTTAAATATATGCTATATTTTTTTTATAAAAAAAATAGAAAATTTATTGATTTTTGATTATTTTTCTATTTAATTTATAGGATCAAATTAATCAATTTTCTACGGCTACATTTCGAGATTTAATTTTAATTGGTCATGAAATTTCTTCATTGTTGATCATTCATCTTATAGATAGGTAAGCTAATTAAATAAATTATAAAAGTATTTTTATTAATTGTAACAAATATTCTAAAGTTATCTTGCAGATAATGCATCTGTTGATGCTGTTAGTCAAAGATTACGAGAAGTTTGCCCAAATTTATATAGAAACGAAGATGCTGTCTGTTCTAAGGTATAAAGCTAAGAAAAATATGATTTTATTATTGTATATTATTAATATTTTTATTAATTTTAGGCCAATGAAATAATCTTAAAAGCAAAAAGCTGTACAAATCCCAAAGAAAAGGAATGTTATTTGCGATCTGCTTTAAAAGTAAATACATAATATAATAATCAATTATTTATATTAAAAGATATAAATTAGATAACATAAAATTATTATATAATATAACATATAATACATTATTAATATACATAATATATTTAATAACATATAATAACATTTTGATATTGATTTGCATAATTTTATATTTTTTATTTATATGAAATATTATTCACATTTTAGCTTTGTAAAGAAGTTGCTCCCAGGTTAAATTTAAGTGCAGTATGTCAACAATTCATTGCTTGTCAATTTTATGTGGGTGTACTTGAATTATGTATATCTTGTGCAGAAAGAGTAGATCCTAATAACACTGCTTTACATTATTATAAAAATAAT